TATCCACAAAGATGTCACAAATAGGATTACGCATATATTTATGTCCTTTCAGTTGTAAAATTTGATTACACAAGCTTTAAAACCATTTGTATCCAAGGCGAGAAGTCACGCCTCTTGGATTTAAGTTTTGAATATTTGCACTAGCAAAATTTCTCAGAATGTTACTTATAGTAGAATCGATCTAAACCAAATTCATTGCGAACTGCTCATCGCTCAGTTTGACATCGACTTTTTTCTTTTAATAATTTCGATCTGATATTTTTTTTTCTTTGCTTTTTTGTCTATTTATATGACCTTGAACTTTCAGAGTTGGGCATACTAATACTTAGAATATGGAGAATTAAGTTAATAAAAAGTTAATATTAAGTAAATGCGCAACAACAGGATAGGTTATTGGTTTATTTGGATTTTAAACGCAAATATTCTCCATTATTATTATATACTAATACGTTTTGACATTTATCTCCAGAATTGTTGTAATAATTATCAACTACTTTATTCCTTCAAACTGCTCTCTATTAAATTCTATACAACGTTCTAGCCGATTTTGCCAACTCTGGAAAAGTTCTCATAGTCCTCTTTTGGGATACTGTCAACAACAGTCCTTGCCAGATTTCGACTCTTTTTTTTTATTCGAGGGCATAAAGAAAAATTACAAGGAACAAGGTCTTGATTGTGGGTGGGGGGAAAGTTTCACTCGTTCGTTACGAAGATATTTCTTGCTGCTGCGGCATTATCGTGATAAAGTTTTTTGGAATCACAAATCGTGTAACACGGTTCCCGGCGAAAATAATGGCGGAGCATTTTTCTTAAAAACGCCAAAACGGACATAATAATTACGCAAAAAACTTTATTTTCCACATGCTTGTAAGTAGGAGTCTGAATGTGGGAAAAATTATAATATAACACATTTTATTGTCAATTATTAAAATATAGATGCAGTTGTTTAAATGACTGGTACCACTAACTTGTGTTTAAAAATTGGACGAAATTTTTAATAATTTTAGAACTCAACGTATAGTGAGCCGATCGAACAACAAAAACTGCCGGAATGACGGCCGCATCAATGTCAGTTAATAAAAACAGAATTATCAAAATCGAATTACTGGTTGCGCTGAGAAAAAAAATATTGAAGCATTCCTAATGTTTTTAAGTTAAAAAATTGCCTTGGATTGGCTATTATGAAATTTTGATTTACCGGTGGTTATACTGCACTGACATTTCAATACTTTAGTCGCATTTTTCAGCAATATTAGAGAAATTAATAACATTATTATTATACCATATGTTGAGCAATGACAGACGAAATTTTCTCCGCCATTATTTTCGCGTCTATATTAATATTTATTTTTAATATATTATTTGAATGTTTCGTCATTAAAATTCTCGCGTTTGTTTTTACTTGCCATTAAAACTAAAGCTATCAGAAATTTTAATGTTATTTCGGAACACGTGAGGTGGCTGAAAAGTTTTGATCGTGGATTTTTATCTTGACAAGTGCCGGTCTCATTTAAAAGATTCAAAGATCGAGCTTCGGAGGAACAAGTGAAAAAAAAAAGTTGGTGCGAGTTGACATTTTTAATTGTTGAGTAGCGTTTATTTTCTCCTGGCACACTAAACCAATTGGAAAATTCGGTTTAAACATAATTTCAAAAATTCATTTCTCCAGTCTTCTATGCAATATTTGCAAACTTTTTTTTCTTATTTGTCTAAACCACCATGATTACGCAAGTTGTGATTCGAAATTGTGACGTGACCATTGTGTCATAAATATTACGTGACTATGGGTACGGCAACGATTATATTCCGATCTAATACCACGATCCATGCAAGTTCTATGCAGTTTCTAAAGAATTGTTTGAACAAACGAAAGGAAAAAAAAATTATGTAAATTGCTTAGAAAAGTATGGAGATAGGAATTTATAAAAACTATATTCATAACTATAACGTTATAATACATATTGCACTATCCTAGAATTAAATGGCAAGTGTTTGAAACTTTTGCTGATTGCGTTGAAATTTTGCAAGTTATTAGAGTTTGTAATATGGCATGTTCAAAAAAATTTTCAATATTGTTCCTAATGTCTATGAGGAATAGGAAGTTACCATTCTTTCTATTACGACTATTTTCAATTGGTTTAGGATATCGCCAACAAACGTACATAACTTGAAACTCAGGCTTGCAACTATAGTTTTTGTTTTAAATATATTGAGCAGTTGTTGAGATAATTGTTCATGATTAGAACTTTTCGATTACCCACGTATACGGTATATGGTAAAATGGAGATATAAATGAGTCATGATCTGTAATAATAAGATATGGGGATTTCAGGATAGGGCGTATTAGAGATAAGAATATATCTGAGTAGGATACAATTGAGAATAAAAATTAAATAGAGAAATCCAGCGTCAAAGATGTAAATAGTTCTGTATTGTCAGTGATAAAAGACTTGCAACGTGTGAGATACGAAAGGCAAGGCAATTCTCTGAAACAAGCTAATATGCAAGATTATTTCACTACCGCAATGTCATTTTTAATACAGTTATCCCTCCCTCCTATTCAACTGTTCAATAAATTATGGATAATTTTTTAAAAGCTTTTTTATTTGAAACTACTACTACCCTTTGCTTATTCTTCTTTATTATCAGTTGTCTCCTGCTTTAATATGAAGAACCAAAGGAGAGCTTACGGTACGATAAAAGTTAATACAATTTTTATTACATTAATTGTATAATCCAAGACTTCTAATAACTGTTTATTGAATTAAAGTCGTATGATCTTGATGGTACCAGTTAAAAATTGAGAAACATGTGTTACGTTATACATTTGCAGAATGGGCTGTAACAACAAATCCGTTAGGATTTAAGATTAACATTTGGCTGCTATTTTAAAAATATTAAGCTTGTCGTTTTTCTTTAACAATATGACAAATATTGGTACTTACAATGTTATATTTCAGTTGGGGACCTGAATCCAGTCATTGAAAACTCAGTTGTCTCAGTTCCGAAGCAGTTACTCAGTCCAGAACTCACTTGTCCTAGTTCAGATTGAACTAAACAGGCTCCCAACTGAAATAAAACCACATTAATAATATTATTTAACTAACTTGATTATAGTCTTTTTTTTGCTTTCCGTTGAATTACGTGTTGACGCTACGTTTGTGGGACAGTTTCAATAGAATTTAATTGGAATAACTTCAGATATTGTATGACATAATCTTCATCTACCATACTAATCGCTATTCTAATTTTTGAGCTGTATAAAAAATACACTTCGATATAAGCGACTTTTATCAAAACTTTGGTAACAGTATAACGCAATTTTACTATTAAGTTTTATCATAACAAGAAAAGTTTCTTAGTCAAAAAGCGGCGGGTTCGGTTATTTTTATAATCGCGTAATCTAAGCCTTTGGGGGGACGAAAAAGGTCAATCTTTCGGTTTGGCCCTCAAAAAGTATCAGCAGCAGAACAAAAATTAACTGAACAATTAAAAACTGTACGAATAATAGGCTGTTCAATTCTGTTCCGTTCCAATTTGTGCCGATCCCTGATTGGCGGCTTAAGAATCACATGATGGGAACAACAAATTTGCAGTTCAGCAGTTCCATCCATCCCACACATGTTTATTAATAAGCGTAAAAGATTAAAAGGTTGTGTTGCGCAAAAGGGTGCTAATGGCTTTTAGAAATATATATATTTTTGTAAAGAATAACACTTGAAATCTTGGAGTGAAAAGAAAAACAACGGAACGGGGAAACGCCTCAATTCTCACTGATTTTTGATTGGTTAATACAATTTTGCCAGGTCGATCGGAAACGGGAACGGAACAGAATTAAACAGCCTAATATTACGAAAATTGATATAGCGCGGTTGGACAGAAATCCATGCGTACTTTCTGATGCGCCATTCAAATTACGAGCTCTGTTGTACATTACATTACATTGCATAAGCTTTTAACTTTAAATCGAAACGATCATCGACATTCATTCCAAGAATTTCCGATATTCTTCCAAATGGGTTAGTTTCCCAATGGTGTAACTGTCCTTGGTTTTTCCCCGATGGTGTTACCGTCTTGATGACGATATCAGTGGCGTGATGATAAACAATACTTTCCAATGTTGCTATAAAAGTATGCGAGATAATAAAATAAGAATTTTATGTATATTTTTGTATTCGGTACGAGTGTCAACACAAATTTTTTGTTTTTTTTTTTTTGTTTTTTTTTCCCAAGCATCTCATCAACTCGATTTCCCTTCATAAAAATCTCTTGGAGAGACAATTCGCGCACACTATATGTCGAGTAATACGTTGTTACACTTTGACTAAAGTATAACACTCGAACTAGTTAGATAAAAATAAAAATAAACAATGTATAAACTTGATAAGGCAGTTTGCCACCAAAAAAGTTTTGTCCTTACTAGTATTAACGTTCCGTACAACTCTCTTTAACTATATTTACTGTTTTGTGAAACTAAGCAGAAAATAAGAAAAAAAGTATCAAAAATTTTTTTTAGTTTTTATTTTTCGTGGAGTAATAGTAATATTGCCGGCAAATTAATACTAACTTCGACTTTATGGCAATTCTACAAGCTTGCTTTACATCGGTCCTGTTCAGCTAGCATGCCTTATCGAATACTACGTTTTAATCATGTTTACTGGAAAAGACCCGCCGAGATTCTCATAATGTCTACGCCTCGCCGTAAGTGGAAAACCTGACAATAAGTTAAGTTTATGCTGTTCGCAGTAATAAATGACCACAAAACCCAAGTTTTCGAAAATTCATTCATATTCTAACTTGGTTATTTGTTAAGAAAGGTGTGGTAAACCTTTTCTTTCCAAGGTAATTATGGTTACAATTTTATCAATATCGACTGAGACGATCGAAATCATTCTCGATTATCTGGATACACCGGATCTGGTTACCGTGTCTCTCACGTGCAGCTAACTTTATAAAATCGTCAGTTCCAAGCGGGTACGGATTAATTCTCCCAAAATGGCATGGTGTATCATATAATTGATAATATTTCCAACGACAGTGTTGCCGAGATCGGACTTTACTATCGTAACGCCGTTTTGATTGGATCAACACTATACATACTCGTTCTTTCTATCGAAAATCCGACGGCGTGGACTATAGATCTAAACGACAAAAATCCTAAGTGGATCAGCGTTTCTATGAAAGTATCTGATTCATACGGACCTGTCAAATATCCGGAAACATCATCAAGCCTGAACAAAATATATATCCATGGTGGAATAGATCTGCTCAGTGGAAAACCAACGAACACTTTGTACGAGTTTGACGTACGCGATGTATGTTGGCGCAGGAGTGAACAATTCCTTCCGCTCGTTCGGAGCATTCGCTTAACGCAATCGATCATAACCGTCTAGCGGTTTACGGTGGTCAATGTTGCTGACGGTATTATCATGACAATGATTTCTGGCACGTCCGATTGAGGGAAAAAAAGTTCAAAATTAACATAATTTTATTTATTAAATTTACAGATGGTCCGTATGATAGTAAAGATTTTGCAACGTACAACCTTGCAAATGGCATTTGGACAATTCACGATCAAATACCCAATCTTCTATATGCGAGATCCTTGCATTGCACGTTGAAAGCCCGCAGTAGACTTTATATTTACGGAGGCCAGCGGATAGTCTCGAAAGAAAAAACTGAACTGCATACCGATAGCCATGTGTGGACGTATGACATACAAAATCATAGTATCTCTTCGACAGTTTATTCATGGACACCGCTGAAACTTCCACCTGAATGGGTTTTCACCTCCGGACAGAAACAAAGCCCTGGCCGACGGGTTGGTACCGCAATGTTTTGCATAAGGAATCGCATCGCTATAATTGGTGGTGTTGTTGGTGACAATTGGGAGAAAAGCGAAATCGAAAATTTGAAGATATTTTCACCTTTGAAAAAATCTTGGTGTCATATTCGAATCCAGGGTTTACCACGCATGAGTTGTGTTGCGTTCGTTGGTAACTGGTCTGGTTGCATAAGAAAGGCTTTTCTTATTGGCGATGATGCAAAAAACGGGAAAGACAACAATGGGATGGATAGTTGGTTGACGTTAATAATTACTATATCGATTCGGAACAAGAACACAAACATCCAACAATTATGATAACACATGCCCAATAAGTACTTGTTAGCTAGTGATCCTTTACGCAATTTAAGATTAAGTCATATGAAGCGCCCGTAAGACATTAAATACATCGAAAATAAATTTAATAAGAGAATTTTTGATAAAGTTTAAGATCAAATGGGCCCTAATTATACAATTATAACATAAACAGGCACTTAGACTGCAAAGTTTATTTCGCCCTATATATGATTCATAACTGAATTTTTAATGGTAATGGCGTGAGGTGAATTGCAAGTACCGAAACGGGAATTTTACGTCACAAAAAGGTATTACCGTTGGCTAGATGGTTGGCACGTGCAAAAAAGATAATGATCATAAATCATATATCACACCAAAATATCCTCGATCATGCCTATTCTTAAAAGATGATTTTGCCCAAATTGCGTATCGAGTCAAAGCTTAGATGGTTATTATCATTTCTTCTATTACTACTTATTGTGCATACGAAAATTCAGATCACGCATATTTGACTTTCGCCTAATCGGATATTGTTCGTTTTTCGTTCGACGGCAAAATTGTATCGGCCAATCAAAATCAGTAAAAATTGAAGACAAATTTCGTGTTCCTCCATTCCATCGTTTTTTGGTTTTTTTTTTTTTCATTCCAAGACTTCAAGTGTTATTCTTGCAAAAACAACATATTTCCGAAAGCCAGTAGAATCCTTCCGAGAGTTGTAAATCAGATTCTAGAATAGTCTGCGGTAATCTGATTGGTGTAAAAAATTTTAACATAATGAGGCTTTATCGATTAAATACTCAAATAAGAAACGAAACTAACGGTAGCAACATACTTTTACGAGCATATAGTCTCAGAATCCACGGGTATTTAGAAAAAAGGTTTCTCCTAGACCCAGTTTGAACATTGCACTACGTACATAATGGATGCAAGACTGGAAGCCAAAGACTTACCATGTTTGTTGATTCTCTTGCCGAGAGTCAGTTAGTCTTAGTAGAATGCGAGACTAAAGAAAATCAAAGATGGCGTCGTGCGTCGACTAGTTCTGCAGCAAGAGGAATAATGGAAATAGTCCTGAACTATCTGCATTCCTTGATTGTCTAGAGAATTACTCTTTGTGTGAAAGGCGTTATACCAGATCATCGTTAAAAAGTCTTATATTAAACGAGCCACTAAACTGGATTCAAGTTTTTTAGATTCGGAAGAAAAAGAGAAAAAAATTAAGACTCTCTAATGATACGAGGTACCGGTGTTCAGACTTTTTGCGATTTTGGAGTCCACATATCGTTGTCCAATTCAAGGTACGAATTTTTTTCGAAAAGAATGAAGAGCTAGAATCAATCAGCGATTGCTATTTGAGAATGCCGACCAACAAGAGCGTATTAGGTACGTGACGAGAAGGGAACGAGGTAATTTGTGAGTAATTTGGTTTGGATAGTCTTTTAGAATATTCGCCTTCCAAATGGCTTGCCGAGAGAAATCCAATCGTTGTGAAGCCTATTGAAACTCTTACTCATAACGAACCTGTGATCGTGTTTTTCGGGATATAAGCGGTGAATAGATACTAAGTGAAGAAATGAAAAGATTTGCACGGACGAAAAAATAGACTTATTAAGGCGTGGCTAATCAATAATACATCACTAGGCATCTGGCAACTGATCCAGTAACATGTGAAGAAGCAAATAATCAAAAAGCTGAAAGTTTGTTAACAAAACACAACTTTATCCGTTATTAACTCTTTGATCCCCTTTTTAGGCAATGATTTATTGGACACTCTTCAGGACGTTAGAAGTATATTATCTGAAACATTATTAATACTAATAAAGACGATAGTTGAAGATTTAATGGTATTGTATGTCAGATCGGAATTTATGTCAATTCCGAAGTAAAATATGTCAGATTAGAATTTACGTCAACCCCGAAGTGACATACACCCCCCTGCCAAAAGTATCCGACACTCTTTGAAATTTACTAGTAAAACATATGAAAAAATTTTTTTTCCCTAAAATCTCGATTGTGCGTATTTACTATGTGAATCGTAATGATTTGTGAAGCTAATTGATTGTATTTTTCGAAAAAAAAATAATGATAAACTCGATCCCGTTATTGCACTAGAGCAACTGTTCAATGAAGTGGCTGGTATCATGTTACACATATTAATATGAAAACGTATGAAAATCATATGTGTAACGTGCATGCTATCACTTCATTGAACAGTTGCTCTAGTACTAGTGCAATAACGGGATCGAGTTTATCATTATTTTTTTTTCGAAAAATACAATCAATTAGCTTCACAACAGTACCAAAATTATTGTGATTCACATAGTAAACACGCACAATCGAGATTTTAGAAAAAAAAAGATTTTTTATATGTTTTACTAGTAAATTTCAAAGAGTGTCGGATACTTTTTATTTTGGCATGTCAGATCAGAATTTTATGTCGTTTCCAAACTGACATATTATTCAATAAAACATTGTCATGTTTATTGCTAATTTTCTATTATTCTCATCTGACACAAATTCCGATCTGACATATGTCACTTCGGAATTGACATAAATTCTGATCTGAAGCAAAAAAATAAACCACGTATTTCCTAGAACCCTTCCTCGCAACACAACTTTTATTTCGTTCGCACTTTTTAATAAAAACCTTTGTGGTGGGGATGGACGCTGCAAATTTTGGTTCCCATCTGTTCAGATCATGTGATTTTAATCAGCCAATCAGGGAGCGACACGGAACAGGGCTAATGTCTCGTCACCAGTAATAATGTTTTTGTACCCTTCGTCTAAAATTTTTAATAATTGTTTGGAAAGTTCGACACGATTCTGTTTACGTTCCTCTGAAAGCCTGTGGGAAACCCACTATTACTATGCACAGAGTTTGTGGAGATTTAGTTCTTCATGCAAAAATGTAAGAAATTCTTTCACGGGAAATACCGACTTTAATAGAAATATGCGGGCCATTGCTAACAAAAGCAAAAAAAGTCAGCGTGATTGACTTCAAAAGTAAAAAATGACCCTATCCTTGACACCGCCATTACTATTTGTCCTTTTTTAATATTAGAATGGGGGTCAGCTTGTTTGACAGCAGTAATTACTAAATTGCCTATTCGACGGGCAACTTTTTTCTGACGACACTGCTTTGTGAGGACGTCCAGAACGGGCCTTTGTCTTTAATTCTTCTTCCCGCCTTTGAATGTAGCAACCAAGCGTCTAATTGGGCTAATAGACAATGCTTGTTCCCCTTCTACGTTCACCAACTCTTCCAGGAGTTGAGTTGCATTTCTGCATTTACCAAAGAAGCGAAAATAAGATATAGTTGATTTTTGCGGCTCATTTTCTTCCAGTTGTTTTACAATGCTTTGCAAAAAAATTGGTTTCTCGACAATGAGATAATACCCACGTAATACAGTATATGAAAAATGGAGATATAAACGAGTCATGATCTATAATAATAAAATATGGGAATTTCAGGATAGGCATATTGGGATAAAGAATATATCTGGGGAGAGGGAAATTTGTATAAAAATTAAATAAAGAAATCCGTCAGTATCAAAGATTTAAATAGTTATGTATTGTCAGTGATAAAAGACTTGCAACGTGAGATAAGGAAAAGCAAGGCAATTCTCTAAAACAAGCTAATCTGCAAGATTATTTTACTATTGCAATGTAATTTATAATACAGTTACCCCTCCCACCCTCGGATATAACTCATTCAAACCATTCAACTGTTTAAAGCTTTTTATTTAAAACTACCTTTTGCTTCTTCTCGTCTTCTTCTTCTTCTTCTTCTTCTTCTTCTTCATTCTCAGTTGTCTCCTGCTTAACATGGGAAACCAAAGGAAAGCTTACGGTACGATAAAAGTTAATATAATTCTAAAACTTCTGATAACTGTTTATTGCATTAATCGTATGATCTTGATGGCACCAGTTAAAAATTGATAAACATGTGTCACGTAAGACATTATTGCGTGCAAGCCAACTTATCTGATTGTGTTAAAATAAGACATGTTTGGCGATTTACAGTTTATATTTATCGGGAATTACATAATTGCCGACTTATGAATTTTTAATAGTGAAAAAAAAAAAAAAAGAAAAAAGCACAAAGCAGAAAAAATTTTGACCTATTGAGACTCCCCCTGTACATTACGTGCATGGATTATTGTAATTCGATGCGATAGTGAACCCTGTCACTCAGTCCAGAACTTAGTTGTCTCAGTTCCGAACGCAGACACTCGGTCCAGAACTCAGATGTCTCAGTTCAGATTGAACTAACTGAAATAAGTTACAGTAAATAACATAGTTTAAACTTGCTTTCTGTATGTTGACGCCACGTTTGTGTGACTGTTACAGTAGAATTCTGAGTTGGAATAACTTCACAGATACTGATGACATAATCCTCCTCTGTCATACTAATCGCTATTTTAAATTTTTGAACTATATAAAAATAAGCGACTTGTATCAAAACTTCGGTAACGGTATAACGCAATTTTACTATTAATTTTATCATAACAAGTTTTACTAGTCAAAAAGCGGACGAATAATATTGTATTTACAGAATTTACAGACAGAATTCCATGCTTTTGTTGGCGTACGTTCTGATACGCCATTCAAATTGCGAGTTTTGTTGTACATTACATTGCATAAACTTCTAACTTTAAATCGAAACGATCACCGACATTTATTCCAAGAATTTCCGAATATTTTTATTGCGCCATTTGCAAACTTTCCTAAACGGGTTAGTTTTTCCGATGGTATAACGTCTTTAGTTTTTTCACCAGATGATGTGTTACTGTCTTGATGACGATATCAGTGGCGTGATATTAACAATACTTTCCAATGTTGGCTATAAACGTATGCGAGATGATAAAATAAGAAATCAATGTACGAATATGTATTCTGTACGCTTTGCGTCGAATGTCAACACAAATTTGTTTGGTTTTTTTTTTGTTTTCTTGGCGAGACAATTCGCGCAAACTACATGTCGAGTAATACGTTATTACACTTTGACTAAAGTATAACACTCGAACTAGTTAGATAAGAATAAAACAAACAATGTGTAAATACGATAAGGCAGTCCCACCAATTATTTCTAATAATAACGTTCCGTAAAACTCTTTTTAACTATATTTACTGTTTCTGTTTTCGTTTGTAAAACTGAGCAGAAAATAAAAACAAATAAGTATTAAAAAATTTTTTAGTATTTCTTGGCTTTTCATTTTCGCCGGGCAATAGTAATATAGCCAGCAAATTAATGCTAGCTTCGACTATACAACTTTGCTTTACATCGGTCCTGCTCAGCTAGCACGCCTTATCGAATACTGCGTTTTAATCATACTTACTGGGAAAAGGCCACCTAAGGATCCTCATAATGTCTAACACTTCACCATAATTGGAAAACCTGACAATAAGCTTACGCCATTTGATTCAAACAGGTTTTATGCTGTTCGCAAACAGGAAAGAAATGGCATTGATTAAACTCTGTGGAATGATTTTGTGGAACAATCAATGATATATATACTGCTTTCCTTCACCCAACACATTCTCCTATCACGCAATAATTAATGACCACAAGATCTTAAGCTTTCGAAAAATTTCACTCATTTACTCGTTTTCTAATTTAGTTATTTGTTAAGAAACGTGTGGTAACCTTTTCTTTCCCAAGGTAATTATGGTCACACTTTTATCAATATCGACTGAGACGATCGAAATCATTCTCGATTATCTGGATACACCGGATCTGGTTACCGTATCCCTCACGTGCAGCTTACTTTATAAAATTGTCAGTTTCAAGCGGTACGGATTAATTCTCCCAAAATGGCATGGTGTATCATATAATATTTCCGACGACAGTGTTGCCGAGATCGGACTTTATTATCGTAACGCCGTTTTGATTGGATCAACACTATACATACTCGTTTTTTCTATCGAAAATCCGACGGCGTGGATTATAGATCTAAACGACAAAAATCCTAAGTGGATCAGCGTTTCTATGAAAGTATCTGATTCATATAGACCTGTCAAATATCCGGCAACATCATCGATTCTGAACAAAATATATATCCATGGTGGAATAGATCTGCTCAGTGGAAAACCAACGAACATCTTGTACGAGTTTGACGTACGCGATGTGCAACTGCAAATTTTAGCGCAGGAGGGAACAATTCCTTCCGCTCGTTCGATGCATTCGCTTAACGCAATCGATCATAACCATCTAGCGGTTTACGGCGGTCAATGTGTGACTGACGGTATTATCATGACAATGATTTTCGACGTCCGATTGAGAGAAAAAAAAGTTCAAAATTAACATAATTTTATTTATTAAATTCACAGATGGTCCGTATGATAGTAAAGATTTTGCAACGTACGACATTGCAAATAGAGTTTGGACAATTCACGATCAAATACCCAATCTTCCATATGCGAGATCCTTACATTGCACGCTGAAAGCCCGCGGTAGACTTTATATTTACGGAGGCCAGCGGATTGGCTCGAAACAAAAAACTGAACTACATACTGATAGCCATGTGTGGGCGTATGACATACGAAATCATAAATGGTTAAGGTATATCTCTTCGACGGCTTATACATGGACACCGCTGAAACTTCCACCTGAATGGATTTTCACCTCCGGACAGAAACAAAGCCCTGGCCGACGGGTTGGTGCTGCAATGTTTTGCATAAGAAATCGCATCGCTATAATTGGTGGTGTTGTTGGTGACAATTGGGAGGAAGGCGAAATCGAAAAGCCTTGGGAATGTTTGAAGATATTCTCACCTTTGAAAAAATCTTGGTGTCATATTCGAGTCCAGGGTTTACCACGCATGAGTTGTGTTGCATTCGTTGGTAACTGGTCTGGTTGTATAAGAAAAGCTTTTCTTATTGGCGATGATGCAAAAACGGGAAAGACAACAATGGGATGGATAGTTGGTTGACGTTAATAATTACTATATCGATTTGGAACAAGAACACAAACATCCAATAATTATGATAACACATGCCCAATAAATACCTGTTAGCGCTAGTGATTCTTTACGCAATGTAAGATTAATATTAAGTCATATGAAGCGCCCGTAAGACATTAAATACATCAAAAATAAATTTAATAAGAGAATTTTTGATAAAGTTTAAGATCAAATGGGCTCTAATTATACAATTATAACATAAACAGGCACTTATACTGCAAAGTTTATTTCGCTCTATATATGAATTTTTAATGGTGGTGGCGTAATGTGTGTCAAACGGAAATTCACGTCACAAAAGGATATATTACAGTCAGGGAATATACCAAAGGGAAGCGAATTATAATCTGCGTGCGATTCTTGAAATCTGATTGGCTCACACACGCTTCTTTTTTTTTTTTTTTTTTTTTTTTTTTTTTTTTTTTTTTTTTTTTTTTTTTTTTTTTTTTTTTTTTTTTTTTT